ATAGGGCTAATGAGTGTTTGTTCAGCTGGCACAACAACTGAGCAGTTAGGTTTTTAAGTCTGATCAAACTGGAAGGTTTCAACTTTTTCCCATCCTATTTAGCATCTACTGTGGCCAAAGAACATGAAAATCTTGAGATTCCTATCTGAGAAACACACAAACAAATCAACAACATCTTTCTAAGGCACTGCTACTGAAAACTAAGGCTTGACTTACTTCCAGGGCCCATTATCTTGGCCACCCCACTGACTGTCAAGAGTTCTGGACAGATGGACTTCAAGCTACAGACGTGTCCATTAGGATGTTGCCTACAAACGACAAACTATTCTACATAACAGGTACTGAAGAGCTGGTATACTGTACTGATTTTTTTCTGACTGGGACTGTATCTAACACGACATGCAAGAAAATCCTTTACTGATCCTCTAGAATATCCTCATGCACCTTATGCAATTCCAACAATATTTAAAGAACTTCTGTGTTGGCTTTACACAGCAAGTGATACCAGAACTATTTGCTGTAAAATATAAGCCTCTGCCATAAAATTAAGCTATCCTTTCTGTGCAAATAATTTCTATGTCTTAGAAGTTTAAAGTTCATTGTCTTTTAAAAACGCACAAGTTGACAAGATGCAGATTGCTATTGAGTAGGACAAGGCCCATAGGTTTACCATGTTATTTGCAAATAATCAACCTGTCTTTTTCTAGAACACCCTTCCAGAACTCTATGTTATATAGCTACCATCACTCTCAAATTCACTCCCCTCATTTTAAACAAAGCTCTAGTGCTACCTGCTTATCCTATCACTGAACTGACAACATAATTTTCAGATCAAGGACCACTGGCAATTGATTTTGGACTGCTTGCACTTCCAGCAGAAATACTGTAATAGAATGGAACTTGAAGAATAAGATTCTTGCAAGCTCCTGATTATATAACTGCCTACTAAATCTAATATTAAATAAATACATTATTTCAATACAACCATTATCCACCAGAAGACACTAAACTGTTGAAAGGCCCACCCAAAAGCAGAGAACATCGCTGCCTGGAAAACACGCCTAGTGTAACTGTCATCTAGAAGCGCTTCACAGGAAGGCAGTTTTGTTCTAGCAGTGTTGATTTAAAGGTTATCCAGTCAGAGGCACAAAATGGGAATTCATTTTAAAATTTCTCTTTCACACTGAAGCTTGCAAAGTGCATCAGCAATTAACAAGTCCTATCACTTCTCCCAGTTCGCTGTGTGAAGAGGCTCAGAACTCGTCTTACAAATTGCTCTTTTGAAGATCAAAGAGAAGCTGAATTTGTCTGTGTGTGCGCTGGATGAGTATGTAATTTACTGGAACTTTCAGAGGAGGCTTGGCAGCACGCTTGTTTGACAGCCCCAGGGCACAGGATTCAGGGGAGCTCTGTGACTCTTCTCTTCCGAGTTCCTTCCTTGGCATTAATTGGCACCACATTAGAAATTAATGAAAATGACATCCTCTGTTCTTCCTGCTCCAGGCACAGAATGCTAGAAAAAGGCCCATCACAATTCATAACACATCCAATTTATATAGCAATGGCTCTTAAGCATTATTTATGAGATGTGAATTTCTTGTCAGCAGTTAATAACTTGTATGAAGCAGAAGCAGAAGGAAAAAGATCTTGAGAGTGTGTGTGTATGTGTTTGTGTATGAAAATACACACATTTTCTACATCTGAAAAATTTTTGTGTTCAAAGAACCCTTGCTGGGTTTTTTTTTGTTTTTTAATTTCTGGTGAATTGTCTTCTTTCATGACAAAGCCGTGCAGAACTGTCAGATCTGTCTAAAATTCCATGTACTGTCAAAGGAACAAGCTCAGCAGCATCACCTCTCTACACCTGTCTAGGACAGGTCCTACAGGAGACAACAGAGCCAACACAGCACTCTCTCCAAAATATCTCTGAATTTGGGATAAAGAAGTAGACTACTCTGTCCCCTTTTAAAAAGGTTGTGCCCTGCTGGACAAGTCCCAGCTACGCTGGAGTAATATTTGCAGGTATATCTATATTAAAACATTGTCCAGCAGGTATAAATTTCTCTTTCCAGTATGTCTTTCTAAAAATCCCACTGAAAGAGACACCAGAACAAAAGGAGACGATTTCCAGGACTTTTAACATTGAGGCAAGATGATGTGTAATAGCAAACAATAAAACTGCTATTATGTGGAGTTAATCTAGATTTTAAAAACAGGGTTTCAGACGCAGCTTTGGAATAACATCATATTTCTGTGGTTAATCCTTTTTCCTTACATCCAAGCAAAACACACACATTTGTCCTTCTAAAGTTCGTGTCTGCCTTTTTATCGATTCTGACTGTCAGCATTTATTTTAACGCTTAAAAGTTGAGGGGGTTTTCTACTTTTTTTCCATTGCTTCAGTTAAGGAATAAGATGCCAAGAATTTAATAGCAGTGGTAGAAAGTCCAGATCAAAAAATGTTCTACCTTGGCCATTGCTTTTGAAGGATATACAGGCTTGTTCTACACCAGCTGATTGTATTTCCAACTTTTTCAATTAAATTCACATTGTTACCAGTGCTTCACATTATGACAAAAAGGATAACCTGATCACATGCAGATTTAGAAAACATTTTAAATTAATGAGAATTTTAACACATTTATTCTGGCCTGTTTCCCTTCATCCCCTCCCCAGGGTTTCTGAGCTGGCTTGTCATTCATGACCTACAGCAACCTAGTTTTACAGATAGCAGGGGCAAAGCTATTGAGTATGGTATCCAAGGCACCTATGTAAAATGACAAAAGCTGGTGGGTACTGGTAAAGCAGTTCAGGTGATGTGCAGCTGAGATGACCTGTGTTGCTCAGTGGTAAGGTTTACTTACTAACTTTACTACTAAGTAGCACATGGTATGCTTACTTTCACATTACAGGAGACCATTCCATTGCAGGGAACACATACGTACTGAATACAGTATTAATTAAAAGTTACAGCTGCACAGATAAACCAAAGATACAGTCTTTTCAGCCCTTCTCTTATAAAATGTGTGGGATAGAAATGTTTATTATACATACTTTATATAGGATGCAATATATAATGTAGGAAAGTAAATTTTATTTTCCTCACTTATTGCTGAAGAATTAAGAATTGTTTCCTAGTCATGTTTTATTAACACATTTTATGACCTTTAACAATTATTTCCATAAAGCTGTATATATCCAGTGAAAACAATCCAAAGAACAAGTTCTACAACATTCGTATTGCAACAGTGTTGAATTGTGGAACTACCTCAAGAAAACTTGAGAGGAGCCATATTTGTCATCCAATTTAAGAAAAAAAAAAAAAAGAAAAAAAAAGGCAGGTCTGATTTTATAATTCGAAAAACATTGCTAATCAATGGAAGGACTTTTAAAAAGTTGTTTTCAACTTCATTGCTCTTACATAGCTCCAGTTTTGCAAAATGCAGGAAAGATTAATGACAGCACATAATCTCTAAATCAGCTTTTCTTCAATTCCCCCCAAACCTGTAAAATTCTCTTGTTCCCAGTATTAAGGAGGATTCTTATATCTCAGTCAGGTCCCTGTAAGCAGCCTCAAGACATCTGTGACAGCAGAATACCAGGAGCAGAAACTCCTGCCCCTACCACGCTGAGCAGGAAAGGCCATGCCAAACTATGTCACTGACAGTGCTAAATTTCTTTAGTTTGGTAAAAACGTTACTGGATACTTCAAAGTATTCAGACACAGGATTTCCATAATAAGAATTTCTACATTACAGCTTTTGATTTCATGTTTGGCGGCTTCAAGATAACATATGCTAGTTCTACAGCAGTTCCCCAGTACCTGAAACAAAGCTTATGTCATGTCCAAAGGAGCACAACACAAAAGTAATCTCTAAAGGTCAAAGACAGATACTGAAGAACAAAGGATAATCACTGAATCTTTGCCACTTTCTATTGCTCTCTTCACTCGTTATTTAGAACTCATTTATATACTATATATAAATGAGGTCTGCCTCATTTAACTGGGTCTTTGTAACTAGCTTAGCTAATCTTTTCTCCCCCCATTGACGCTCTGAAAGACATGCCTTCTATCCAGAAAACATTTTAGTACAATATCCTCCAATTCACAGGTGCAATGTGAATTGCACTTATTGTATATGCAAATCCTTTGGAAATTAATCCCCCTGCTGAGACACAATGAAGTAACTAAACAAATTTCTCTGCATGCATTGATACAAATATGGGCAGAGAACAGAAGCATAAGCTTGCAACACATGACTATATGTAAAAATAATTAGCAGGTAAAACTACCCTGTGCATTCTCATTGGGTCTGACAAGCACATTTAAACCAGTTATAAACACAACTGTTCCACAAAGGAGAGAGGAACATCTCTGGAATCCAGTCACATTAATTATTGTTTCAGAAAGATTATTTGCATGTAATATGAAACCCCAGATTAGCTGTCTGCATGAGATTATCATCCTCAATTCAATTAAAACAGTGTTATCAACTTTGGAAAAGCCAGGGTGGATAAGTAAGTATTATGGACAGGTCTTCCCCACCAAGAGCTAACTATGAGAAAGTGTTTTCAATTAGAGTGGGGTTTTGCTTAAACTTTTTAATAATAATGTAATTATAAAATGCAGAACGTAGATGCTGACCTATGTTTCTTAAAGCTCTGTGAAAACCCTGTCATCTTTGCGTATTTTAATGTGCTTTGTGTTTCTTCTCCTGTCAAGTGGGTATGATGCTCTCCCACCTTACAGGGACTTCTGAAGCTAAATTCATTAACATCTGAGCTCTCTTGAGGCAGTACATCAAGGCCAAAGTTTTAAAGGGGAAATTAGACAGGAACTAATTATAACTTTCTGCTACCAGTGGAAGCTATGGCTTCTGTTAAAAGTTATCTTTGAAAGATTAAAAAAAAATGTAAGAGTTCTCTGTATTTCTACTTCGGATACGGATCCAAGCATGGCTGCATTAGAAAGCCGGACACTACTGACAAGCAGTACTCACCACAGCGACATGATCCCAGTTCCTGCTGTACTAGCTCCAGTTTTGTTTGGCACTGGAAGCATCGGCGTCTACTCTTCTGTTTGGATCGACTGGTTTCTTCAGGCCTGTCATTACTGTCATCCAGTAGCCGTGGCCGTTTCTCAGGAGAAGCCTCACTCTCCGACTGTGAATCTGTTGTATTCACAACAAATATTTTAGGAAAAATATTAGAACTTCCTTGCTGAGGCATCCATTTGGGCAGACTGAAGGTATACAGCCTGCAGCTGGGGTCACCACCAAGCAGCAAGATACTTCCCATTCTACTGCAGGTACCCATTTGCTTAACAATCAAAATGAGGATCAAATAAAAGACAAATTATCTTTGTCCCCTCTAACAACCCCTCCTACTGGCAATACTGAATATAAAATGAACTGATGAGCTTCCTTCCAGCCATAGCTGGGTCATACAGAGATAACATGTAGAGTATACACAGTCCTAAACAACTGCAGGCTTCATCTGTCAACTCTTTTAGCTTCTCCCATGAGCCACCTTAGCTCTCCCTGCACAAACTGAGTAGGCTGCTGATGACACACAACTGAATGCTGGTTTGATCTGCTTCCTCCCTGGGCAACAGGGAGATCTTTAAGGCAAAGCATGTAAATTATATCTCTTATGACTGAAGGTGGGACATGAAAGCACCATACTGTGCTTCCCTCTCTTTCCACATGGGTAACAATTTAATTTAGCATACACCAAGTGCTCAGCTATTTTTAAATAACTAGTCAGAATACTGTCTGCATTAACTACTTCATAAATTTCAGCTTATAACACAATAAGTGTATGGAAAACCTTAAAAAGTTAAAGTTCAGGACTGTTCCTTCAGGTGGTGTAGTGCCTTTTTCTGTTGCTGTGGTTTGTTGTTCTTTTTTCCCCTCTTACAATGGATATATTGACCAGAGGTCTCGAATGGCATGAGATGCATGTTACTGACTGGAACATGGCATACCCATGCCTTATTTTCATGGCATGTCAGAGGCAGTGGATTTCAGCAGATCTGCAGTTCTACAATCTGAGTCAGGTCAGGCTAGAAAAGACATTTTCACTTCCCCAATCTGTGCATAGCAGAATCAGTTCCGCATTTTATTTAATAGAAGCTGCAAATAAATGTAATGCAAGGTGTACTAAAACTTAAATTGTTGGTAGCAGTGTTGCAAGGAGACTAACTGTGGAAAGCCATTACTTCAGTCACCAAGAAAAAAAAAAAAAGGCTTTAGTTCAGTTAAATCCATTTTGAAAGGACATGAATATAACAAGTAACAAGAGAACTATATGTTTTTGCAGAAGAGTAGCCTATTCCTATCGCACAAGTTTTTGCCTTTAAGTTTCCATTGTGTGGTATCTTGTGCTTAAGGAAAACATGTCTACTTTGTGTTAGCTGTCCTGGACTAGCCAGGAAAAGGTAACTGCTGGGGCTAAAGCACTGTCTATATCCTTGTTATTTCAATGATCCACTGCTTATCACCATCATGACTTTCCTTGAGCAAATATCAAATGAAGTCAGACTAGGCTAGCCTTTCCCTCTTGGGTATGCTCTATGAACTTTCCCTGGTCCCTCATATCTAGTATAAACTAAGCCATTTCTCTTACCTGTGCTTCAGACCTTGTCTCACAGTGTTTCCCAGTTGTTGGACTCCAATATTACACCCATGGCAAACAGACAACTTGCCTCACTTGGGTCTACTTCTGACATAAGGTATGATGAAAATGTGCCTGGCTTTACAATAAGAGCAAAGTCTCCACATCTCAAATTTCACAGAAAAGTGAACTGCTTTCTGCACAGTATACAGGTGATAAGTTTTTATTAAGCTGCAATAATTTATCTAATGTGTGCCTTAACACAACCTTCTTTTTGATCAATGTCATAGATTACATAGATTTTGTGAGCTTACATCTCCCAAAATATATCTATTAGGCCTAAACTAACATTCAGTACATAACTTAATCCACATCTGCATGCTCTGCAGGAGCCTTGACAAGGAAAATAAAACAGTGCATGATGAATTCATACAGCTATGGAGCAACCAGTCCTGTCTTGAATTAAATCTCTGCACAAGAATATCCACAAGACAGATCCTCTGTCTCTACCCAACTCTACCCTCCAACTGGCACCTTATGTACAGCAATCTGGCTGACTCAGGGCTCAGTGTAAATCAGTGTAAATCAGGCCACCTTGCTGCCAAAGATGGGGAATTACATGATTTGTAGTTTATCCACTACTCAGAGAAACAGATACACTGCTGTTTTGAAAGAGCTGTCTCCCACGCAGCTTTGCTTCTGGAAACATGAGCCACTCTGGGAATTCTCAAAAGCAAACCTGGCATTCTGAATTAAGAAGATGGAAACCATAGTGGTCTGCTTATAATGAAGTCCAAATAAGGGATTTTGTGAGTCAACCAGTGTCTATCAGTTAATTAACCCATGTGTCTTGCTGAGAAAAACAGCCTACCTCAAGTCAGGCTAGTAGTCCTATAATTAAAAGATTTCATTGTACATTTCCTGTTAATGGGTGATGACTAACTGAATATTAACGTAAGTTGGTTAATATGACAGAAATTAAAATTTAGATATCCAATCTTCTAAAATGCATCTCCTTTTGCTATAAAGAGTGCCAGCACTGAGATCACCTTAGCCTGACTCTAGGGGCAGTGCCAGCCATCTGATCACTGCCTGCACAGCACCTCGAACGTATGAACACAAGCCAATACTCAGTACAAAACCGACCAACAGTACACACACTTGCATCCTCTCAGGGTTAAGAACAAAAAGTGAGGAGAAATCATGGATCAGAAATCAGAACTTTTAGATCAGTCCTGCATGCATTTTTTCCAGATCATGTTTCTTTCCACAATACTGACACAAGCAATAGAGAACACAAAATAAACCTCCCAGCACCTGGAATCCTGCAACATTACATTTCAGAGATCTGATAGCAAAAGGACATTGTCATGCATAGCTTCACCATCTGGGTTGCAGAAAAAAATCCCCTAGGAACAGGGTGAAGTGCTGCAACTAGACTCAAGAGTAAATTCTCTATGTATTAAACAATAAAACTGGCTCAAGAGAAGAGGATTTTTTTCAGCCAGTGACTGACAGTGACTTTCCTTGGCTCATGCAATAAGAATTACTTCTTGCTCTGCTTTTAAGGAACATTTCCCACACTCAACTTGCATTTTAGTATTACATCAACAAATACCCAATCTGAGTTAAAAAAAAATGCTTTCCTTTTACCTGCAGATGTCAAAAATCATAAAACTCTTCCATAAAAATAAAGAAAAACAATACAGACATTCCCAAAATGTTACAAAGAAATTGCTCAGCAGAGATTCTTCTGTATCTGAGGATGGAGATTGTTCTAATTGTGGTGACTCCTATGTGAAACGAGATAACGAAATAATTCAGCCAAGGAAGACTGAAACTGGAGGTTTCTCTGGAAACAACAAGCAGAGCAGTGTTCTTAAAAACTGTTATCTCTTAGACAGAAACTCACTTTTGTTCTGTCCTGTCACTGTTCTCCCCTCAAAATTTTCCAAATAAAGAGCTGAATACCACTCTCTAACTATCCTGCCATGGAGGGGTTTTCAGGCTACATGCACATGACTCTACTAACAATCACGATGGCTCTTTCACAGCATTTTGGAGAGGGTGGGACACTCTAACCCCAGCAGAGACATGGGCTGATGTCCTGAGTTCAGCCATAGCAGTCATTTTTCTCCTTCTTAGTAGCTGGTGCAGTGCTGTGGTTTTGACTTTCAGCCTGGGAACAACGCTGATAACACCGATGTTTTTAGTTGCTGCTAAGTCATGTTTAGTCTGACCAAGGACTTTCTGAGTCTCATGCTCTGCCAGGGAGGAGGGGAAGCCAGGAGGAAGCAGGGACAGGACACCTGACCCAAACTAGCCAAAGAGGTATTCCATACCACAGCACGTCATGCCCAGTATATAAACTGGGGGCAGTTACCCGGAAGGGCTAGATCATTGCTCGGGTCTGGCCGGGTATCGGTCAGCAGGTGGTGAGCGGTTGTATTCTCTTCCCTTGTTACTCCCCTTATCATTATTATTACTGGTGGTAGCAGTAGTGATTTGTGTTATACCTCAGTTACTGGACTGTTCTTACCTCAACCCCTGGGATTTACATTCTTTCAATTCTCCTCCCCATCCCTCTGGGAGCAGGAGGAAGAAGGGGAGGGGAGAGTGAGTGGCTGCGTTGTTCTGAGTTACCAGCTGGGCTTAAACCATGACAGCTGACAAAACATAACAGGGAAGGAGGAAGGAAGAGATGGAAGAGTAGGAAGAGGAGCCCTCTTTAGCTGCTTCTTGCTTCAATAAATAAATGAAACCATTTAATTTCTGGTTTAGTGACAGCTTTTGAGTCACTCAGAATTTGTTTTTTTTTTTCTTTCCTAGAGAACCCATCACACTGACAGACTGATACTTATGATCTCAGCTGCCTGTGCAAACACCGGTAAGAGCAGTAATTAATGAATCCCCTAACATCACTGCCATCTCCTCTGAAACCATTTTAGAAGGAGCTTGAGCTGTTAAAACCTCTGTCCATGAAGAAACTTGCACAGGCACAGACAATAACTGCATAACAGGATATAACTAAAGTTTGAGCAATATCTTGTTCCCAGTTTCTAGTTTTGATTTCTCCCTCCCTTCATTCTTCCATTTTTAAATGAGGGATTACTTAATTCCCTGGATGTTGACCATGCATTAGAAATTTCATCTAGATGAAACTGCCTTGTTACAAATCTTTCCTATCACATTTACCAGAATGATCATTTAAAGTCATCTCCTCTACTTCAAATGAAGCTAAAAGTAACACAGCTGTTCCAAAACCCATTTGGCTTGTTGACAATTAATGAGACAGAAATTAGAGATTAACATTTTATGAGCCAAGGTTGACAACTGTGACTACCTCAGTTCTTCCCTGTTGCTGTAAAATGCTGCAGAAACAGTTATTTTGAAGCTCTGATATTTACAGTGATAAGAACATCAAGTCTTCTCACACAATCATGACTGTATCTCAAAGCTGCATCAGAAACCTAAGTATGCACCTCTCTGGAAGCACTTACACTCATCAGAATTTTATTCCTTTTGTGAATTCATCTCAGTTTTTCTTAAAACCCTA